CATTTTGATTGCTGTCTTTTGGCTACCCATTTGGATAAGAGAACAGAACGAAGATTGGAATGTTGAGACCAGAGCCAAAGAGAGGATGGAATTCACATGAGACAGGGCTGCAAGAATAATGAGTAGATGCATAAGCGCTACTGTTTGCGATAACCAGCCATATCACTTATCGTCTCTAACCACCGGTTACCATGATTTCGGGGTATCCATCCAGGGACCCTAACGGAACCGAGTCTCCTGGTAAAGGATTTCACGCCCCCATGCCAGGTCTTACTCTGACCACCCTTGAACCTTTCCCAACCGTTTCCTGCCTCGACAAACATCGCACACCTTGGCAACTTATTTGGTGACATGCGCAACACATGACCCAACCAACACTATCTAGAGGTTGACCACTTGTTCCAGTGGACGACCGCAAGTACCCAAAACTGTGCAACTAACCCCAACATTGTTTGTCCGGCTTCTTCACCTGACGCGTGCAATGTGGTGTAGACAGCGGTGTTTGAACACCGACAGCCCATTTCTATCCTGTTTCCATAATCACCATATCTTTGGAGTGTAGGACAGGACTGGTCTAACTATTGCGGCATATACTCGACCTTGAAAAAAGCAGAACGACACAGAGATACCGGTTTGTGCTACAGTAAACTAGTCAGTATTGGTGTTTGCACAACTACAGAGAAGCACTTGCAATCAACGGCGCGAATGATGTCAACAACAACAGCAGCAAGAGCATGTACGAACAAGTCGACTGCCTCGTGCGTATTAGTCTGTTTAAGATAAACACCAAGAAGCAGTATATAACGATCGAAAAGCATAAGCTCACCTTGAGCACATCGAAGTGATTGTGACGAGCCAATAGAACCAGACATTTTGGTGCATACAGTTCGGCCGGCCGGATCAGATTCGGATCACCGTGATCCAAATGCGATTGATGCAGACCGGTTGCGCTGGCCCGACTGCGCTGAGATAGATGACCCATATCGGAACTGCCCACACTCTCTGAGCTGTGCAAACTGCTACTGGTTGGACTGGTTTTGGGCGGTGCGAGACGCACGTGATGCACGCTCCCGTTGGCCATATGAGAGATCTGAGTTGTGGTTCGTCTGTTGTTGAGCAGGGCAATTCGTTCGGTCGCATTCAACTGTTGCGGTGTGACAGCCTCGTGAAAAGTCAAACAGGCCGCGAAGTATGGATTCCCGACCACATCCGTTAAATTGGCCACAAAAAATGTAGGCGGAAGCCGGTTCGGAACAAGTTGCCATCCGCAAGGTTGACAAAACTATGATACAAATCTCTGTTCGAATAGGGAAACGAGAACTTACAGCCTCTAAGTGAAACTCGTAAGGGTAATCCTCCCATGATTTTGTGGGAAATCGTTGTATAATACGTCCCTGACTTTCTCCACCAGCTGCAAAAAAATTAACAATAGATAAATATTTTATTTTAGGAATCGTCTGCTGCTCATAATCGGTAACAAAACATTTGACGAGTCTAGCGGAAATCAATGAAATGGCGTAGCTGAAAAAAAAACCAAGCAAATATGGACAAGAATAATCTGAGAAAAATGTTAGCGGACTTGTGTTTAATTGAAAAAACGGCGTGTGAAACAATAAGGTCCAAATATCTGTTTATTTACTCAGCACCAATGTACAGTAACAACATATATGTTTGAATGAAAAATGAGGACACTGGACAAGTATACTTTTTATCAATTCAGTGCCCGAGAATAAAGACACAAGATAAAAGAGAATTTCCTAGATATATCTAAGAAGGCTCGTGAAATGTAAGATTGTCCATTCCCGATCGAATTCATCAGCATTTTTACACTACAATTTAAGGATTTTGCTACGTAACACAGGATACATGGAATGAGTCTGTGACTGTCATCCCGGGAGCATTTCACCGCACTAATGAAACAACCAGATAACTCCTTCCAGAAATATACGTCAAGTATCGGGCGATGGAATCAGTCTATATTCCTTTTTCCATTCCGATGTGGGTAAGCAATGCATTGATACTCGCAAATCTATTTTTTCTTAATATATTCATTATCCTTCCACTTTGCTAGTTTTTAAGTGAGAAACAACAACAACAACAACAAGATGGCAATGAAACAGTTCGCTGGTCACGTGATTTTAATTTACAAAGTTAAAACAGGCACAGAGAGAGGAGGTTGAAGAAACTGGTTGTAATCATGTTGGAAAGTAACAGAATAATAAATGGGATGATAAGCCACTGTTTTGCAGCAAGTTCTCTACATGTTTTCACATAATCAAGAGAGTGAATAATCCAGGATCAATAGATTATTGTATAAGTTATTCAATGTAGGCTGATTTGGGGAGTTGGCTAAACCATGCATCAAACAGTGTGAATTTCGCGGCACAATAGCTTTTCTTTGTGTTTTTTAAAGCAACTACTTATTCTACATTTGTATGTACCCACCTGCAAATCGCAGTTGTTTCGATTTCACATCCTCTTTTATTAGGGACTAATATTGTGTCCAAACACACCCTATCAGAAATGATACGTTAAAACGAGTTGGCCCTTTTAATAAATATACAACCATACAAAAATAGGGGAAAAGGAAACGGCCAATCAGAACGCTATTATGCAACACACAGCAAAGTTGAGATAAATCAGTGCTTCTGTTTGGGAAAGCGATATGAATCGGTCATAATGACCGACTGGTTGAGAATGGTTATGTTCGAGAAAACAACAGGAATTACTTTGACGAGCACAGCACCAAAACCACTCTCGACTATTATCCATCATCGACTAGTCATCATACGACGATAGTATGCATATACAGACAAAGATTATTGTTCCATGATTTGCTTGGCACACAGTTCGGCCTCAGACAAGTGTGAAACATAATAATAATATACAGGAATCAGACTAGTTTCAGACTTGGTTGACTCAGTACCGACAACAATTACTATAAAATATAGACCCATTATATCTGTAATTCTGAATCCACGTGTAGCAATTGAGTTAGTGAACCGGATTGTTTTCTGGCGCTATCACTCCTTGAAATGCATAGTTATGGTGATTATTCAAAGTTGAAATGAGTTTTCTGTTTGGTATCATTAAAATTCACCACAGCAGGCGGATGAAAACAGTGCTGATCACTTCAGACCGAAGTGAGCACTCAATTGTACTAGCAGTTTAGTGAAAAATGCAATTTACTCACTGAGTTTATCATGTGAAAAGATTGAGTTGTGTTGACACCAAATTTTGTAATACAATGGAGGGGTGACAGAAGTCGATGGATTTGGTTGTTCCTGCAGTTTTCCTTCCGTGGGGTAGACAGAGTTCGTAGGCATGCAATCGCCTTACCGTAAAACCTGGTTAGCTCCTACTAATCTTAGTCGAAATGACATCGATTTACCGGGAAAAGGTCAAATGTCCAGTGAAATGATTCAGTCAGTGTATTTGGTACCCTGGACTTGGGTATCACATTTAAGGGTACATAATTAATATTAAAAACCACAAGCCCAATGAGCTGTAGTTTTTACAGGTTACCTCGCTACTAGACAAAAGCTTTGATTTTTATTCCCGAATAAAATAATCTGATATGGTATGGGTAAACATATGATACCTTGGAAAAGTGGAGCTGTATGCAACCGAGCGCGTTCGCAGATCGTACATAGGGAAACGGCCATCAATTTGCGGTCAACGGTGAACATGGTGGACCTAGGCTCAGGGAATGAGAGATCGCGGAGGGTTGGCGTCAACAATTGAGGATGTCGTGGGTTTAGGTTTTGTAGGGATTCTCCGCGAAAAACACCACATATATCTATGAACATTATGANGGTTCGTCAACAAAAATAGCCATCACCTCTTGTCGAGTTCCAATCGCTCGGCAAGGTTTCCCAGAATAAAAAGAAAAAATTGGCGATCGGCTCAGCTAGAACAACACTGCTGCCTCGCGGTTTGCTCTTGGTTATGCAAATGCTAGAGTGCACCTTCGAGAGTGAGTAGTATAATAATCCATTACGTGCACAATTACCAACTGCCTTTCTTTAGTGCATTCACACTCAACGCTTTATTTGACCACCATAAACCATTCTAAACCATAGACAGTCCTTTTTTCCAACTTTCCTCCAGGTTACCTTCACGCTCCCCCCCTTCACATTTTCACTTCCATCAGGACCTTAAAACTGTGGTACTAACAGTAGTGCCTTATTACATGAAAACCCTGCCACTGGTCACTCGCATTCTGCTTCGACTAACGTCCGAGCCTCATCAAATCCTCCACTAGTATGTTTAGTTCGTACGACAGCTGCTAGAGCACCGTCATGCTTATCAGAGACCGACGATCATTGTATTCTTGGACATCCGAGCGGCTTTCGACTCTGTCGATAGGACCGCACTATGGAACTGTTTGCTGAGGAATGGAGTACCTGAGAAGTATGTGTCGATCCTCAAAGAGTTGTATCGTCATATCTCAGGTCGGGTTAGGGCCTATGGCCAGCTTTCGCCACCCTTCGCCGTCTCTAGTGGAGTTCGACAAGGCTGCCCTATATCCCCATTCTTTTTCAACTTTGTCATAGAGGATGTTTTG